AGCAAAATATATAACACTGTTCTAGTGGTTTTTGGATATTTTAATAAAAAAAATCTTACATATTGTGCCTTATATATATATATATATATAAAGTCGGCAACACCAAAGCTCAAAAAATATCAAAAAATTAATTAAATGTTCACATAGCATGTTACATTTTGAGCACACAGGCTCTTCATCAGACCCTGATGAAGACCCTGGTCTGATGAAGATCCTGCATGCTCGAAACATAACACACTATGGGAACATTTTTGAAATACATTTTTGATATTTTTGGAGCTTTGGTGTTGCCAACTTTACATTTATACATTTTTCTACTTGTTTTTTAGTCGAACACCCATTTAAGATCGATGTGCATGCTTTTGCTTGCTCTTTGACAATTAATAACATAGAAATATCAAATAAAATTGAAATAAATGTAACATTTTGAAGTAGAAAGACTAATTAATAATAATTAATTTTCACATTGTCTTATTTGTGTATATTTTAATTCCTTCAAGGAATTGAAGAGAACCATCCAAGAAAAAGTTAATACTTGAAAGAAATACCATCAAGTGCTCCGTTAAGCTTTGAAAGAGCAACCTTTGAGCAGTGAAATTTTATCATTACCTCTATTATGACCATATGAACATTCAAACCCTAACTGAGATCAGTGCAATGGTTTTGGTGTTGTTGTGGAAGAACTGAGACATTGTCTAGTTGTTTATGGAGCAGTGTGCCCTGGGCTATCAGCACACCTCCTCCTCGCATCCCCTCGCTTTGCAATGCAATCAGCCATGTGCACGGGACTCTAGTTGCGCTCTTTCAGAAAAGAACATCGAGCAACATTCTGCTGAGCTTCACAGCCTGTGGTATGACAAGTGCTCAGTTTGACAGCACTAAACGACACTTATGCCCCCAAAGCCCCGAGGATAGAGCCGAACCAAATGCTCTTAGATGTCACATACACACAAAACAGCACAAACTTCACCACAAAAGACTCAATCCTGTCATGTACGATGCATTGACAGCATACAATTTATCACTTTGCTTCATTCAAAGGAAATACTGCTATGCAATTTTGTCTGCAAGCATGACTCTCTGAGAGTATCGTGCAAATGCTAAACTCAGAGGAAGTCATCTAATATCAAATGATGTATGCAAAATGAGTCTCAAATTTCCTTTCCTTGGGAACACAACTTATGTTTAAAGGAAATTGCATCTAGCGTTACCATTTGGTGTAACACTGGAGAAAGCAGTTGCTTCTAGAGTCGCTCTTTGAGAAACCAGCTTTACACCCCTGAGAACGTGAAGAGTGATGGACCTGGAGGCAAGGTTCTTTCTGGTTTTAGCTTACAAACACATATCATGCTGACAAGCTATCAAATCACCAACATTACAACGGTCTTCCAGAGATCCAAACAACTCATGTACCCTATTAATCCACAATTAGCATTTTATAGAACATTTTATTGCAGGGCTGTTTTGCAAGCAACAGACACAATGCATAAGCATGGTTCAATACATTTCTGCAGAACTGAGTGTGATATGCAACAGGAGCATTCCCATATTTCATAAATAACCAGCGTGCTACGCAAAGTAAAATCTAGTCAAAGAAAGCACTGCAAAGCATTTCATAAATGGGTATGTGATCAAACCAGGTCAGTTGGTTCAACAGGGATGTGCATTTC